ATATATATATAAATATATATATATATATATATATGTATATATATATATATATACATATATATACATATATATACATATATATATATATATATATGTATTTATATACATATATATATATATATATATATATATATATATATATATATATATATATATATATATATATATATAATATATATATATATATATATATATATATATATATATATATTAGCTATATACCTTAATATAAATGTATCATACATCTACAAAAGTAGTGTTGGGTGAATTCTATTTTTGTTCAGAAAAAAATTGAATACTCAGATCTGAAAACAATTTCAAATCAAGACAAGACTATTCGAAATAAAAAAGTAAAAATTATTAAATTCTATCGCTCAGATTTTTAGAAAAACAGTTTTGAAAATGTAAACAAATCACGCTTTTAACAGTCAGATAAATGTAGCAGAGAATCACAGTTTTTTATATATTTAAACATCTTTATATTGTTTTTATCATTTTTGAATCAACAATTCAATTATCTTTATTATTATTTCATTCTATCAAAAATATGCAAATAATAACTACTAAGTAAAACTTTAAAAATATTGTTGCTACTCAGAAAAAATTTTGGTATCTAAAGGCCGTCACCATCTTTAAAATTATAATATTTGAATTTGACACTGCGCTTGCGTGTAATAACTTTGCGTGTAATAACTTGCGTGTAATAACTTTCGACCGTGAGGAGGTTACTCAAAAAAGCGTATTGCAAAATGCGGGGGGAGGGGGGTAGGACAAAAAAAAAGCGTACGTACTTTTTGGACGACCCCTTACGTTCTGAATAAACTTTAAATAATTTGGAGCTTTAAACATCGGGTATTGATTCTTAAGTTGTGTGCCAAGTTTAACGAGAAAGACTTTTTGTAGAATGCAAAATTCTAACTTTTGTAAGTGATGAGTTTTCTTGTATTGCAGTATAGGTCATTTAAAATCATGTCAACGAGGTGTTCTCTGACTCTGTGAGAGTGATGGAGATTATGTCAGGTATGTAAGACAGCCTTTGTGATGTCCAAATTTTTGTTATGACTTTGAAATTAGATTGTGTATTGCACAGTACTTCATATTATTTTCTTTAATATCTCCATCATCTTGCATAATATGTCAACAAGGTGTACAGAGGTGAGAGACACTGTAGTTACAGGCTTTGAGTTTGTTTTCTTTTATTTTAAGAGAAAAGTTAGAGATCTAGGATATCCCTAGTTTCGGTATCACCACTTCGTTTACGAAACAAGTACTCCTCTACTACAACACCACCAAACTATAACTACCAAATAATAATTAAAACCGAATAAACAAGAAATTTCGTTACTCTCGAGTGCCGAATACAACGGGGGGTGGGAATAAACGGGTGGGTGGGAATTTTAGTCAAAATCTAATAAAAGGGGGAGGGGGTTAATAAACAGGGGGGGGGGAATGAGAGATTTTATCTGAAATTTAATAAACGAGGGTAGTAACGTTCAAAAATAATTTACCAAAAGAAAATGTACGACTTTAAAAAAGTTTTAATTATCAATATTTATTAACTTTAAATAAAATATATAAAAATGATCTTTTTATTTAAATCCTCAAAAGCGTTCCTGATTGAATCATTTTTTCGCAGTGTTCCACTTCATTTTCTAACTGTTTGTTGTCAAAGGCTTCAAAGTTGTTTTCAATACGGCTTTTTATGACACGGCGAGATGTTATATAGCTCCGTTTCAATCTTGTAAGATGTGGAATAAATTGGGTAGTTGTTTCTGCATTACATAAAAGTTTTCCTAATTCATCAATGAAAACAGCATCTTTTCTTAGATCATCATTGCCTTGACATAAGTCACCTAATAAAATGTTGGATGAACTATCGGTATTTAAATTAACTCGATTGTTTTTATCTTGATTTTCTAAAGCACTTCTTTCCAAATTTGTATCGTTTTCCTCGTCTGTCTGATGCTCTTCATCAAGTTGATTTATAAATAATGTTTCACCTTCATAATCAAATAATTCATATCCTTCATCTGTCGGCTCTGTTTCACAAGTGTTTTGTCCTTGCTTTCGTTTCACTCCTTTTGGAGGTGTAATTAGCCCTTGAAGATCTTTCAAGTTTCTTGGGCTTGGGGTAAGCATAATTTTTTCCCAAATGCTTGAAGCTTTTTTCCCACTAAGGCAAATATTCTTTCCGAAACTAGATAATTCTCGCTTCCGTCTAAAGCATTGGTTACCCACAGTGTCTTAAATCGACTAGTAACATCAATCTCCAACGAATTCCAACTTTTTAGTAGCATTTGCATTATGTGATCGCTGGATGGCTGTGGAATTTTTTTGGGGTCAAGCCTTAATTGCTCTATCATAAGGTTTTGCTCCAACTCTCGGTATTTAGCTTTTAAAGGCCTGTGAAAATCTGTATCGTTAATTTGAACATCCCCTGTAACACCACCACCTATTCCAACGTAAATATAACCTTTCTTTAGTAAGGCAGCTTTGATTTCTGGCATTATATGAACACTATAATTATCTAGAACATAAATCCCGTAATTTTGATGTGTAAAAATATTGTGCCTGTTTGGTAAATTAGCTATTGTACTCAGCATATGTTCCAATTGATAGGAACCTTTAGGTGCCAATTGAAACTTCACATCTTGAGGAGAATTAAGTTTAACCCTAACACCTTTGTCTTTTAACACAAATTCTTGTTTAATTGAGACTTTAGGGTCACTGCAAACTTGAGTGTAAACAGTAGTTCGTTCTCTTGAAAGAGAATAATTTTCTTTGACGTATGTGTCCAAACCAGTAAAGTTCAAAGTCTTTTGGGTAGAACTTTCATTTCGGTGGAGTGGCATTTGGTCACCATTCAACACAGGTGGATCAACTCCAAGTACTCTAATATTCTTTCTTCACGGTCAGCCTGCATTATTTGAAAGCATTTGTTAGGATGGCGCAGACTGACACCATGCTCACTCATCCAGTTATTTAACCAACGGTTTGAGAAAACAATTTTCTTGTTCTCTGGCACCTCCTCTAGTTGTTGGGCAAGCCACTGTTTATAAAAAAGTTTGCATTGTGCTGTAAACATATTCCTGGGTAAACGTTTTTTAAGGGTTCCACGGATGTCTACAAACCACTCTAAAAAAAGTTGTCTGACGTCTGGGATGGTTAATTTTCGTCCTCCTCCTGCTTGACAATACCTTGATTTGCTTGGAGGAGCAGTTACAGCATCTTCATCTGCCTCAACTTGGTTTAGACATCTTTTCCCAAGTTTTAGGACTTTTGTTAAAGTTGAATTATCATGCTTAATGTCTTTAAGGTCCGAATAAAACTCTCTTACAGCTCTTGCGAGGTATCCTTCGCGTGACAATGTTTTAACGTGTTTCTTTCTTTTTTCACTAAAGTTAACTTTTTGAAAGTTTTCAGCAATTGATAAATCGTACTCTTTTTTGTAACTTTTACAAAGTTTACCTAAGGCATTTTTTTCTTCCAAACTGTATTTATCTCGGTAAGTTCTTAAAAATTTCCGATCTGACGCCATGTTATAATATAAATATTTTTGTAAAAAATTTTAATTTATAAATCCAAACCAATATTTTTTACAAAGCATGCATAAAACTATTTATGCATGTTCAAGTCAAATGCGCATTTGACTTGCGGTCAAAAGCGCATTTTCTAACAGCTGTTACGGTAGGGTTAGGCTATTTTATCATAATTTCAATAGGATTTAATATACTGATATAAGTTTTATACTTTGCAAAGTATAAAACTTATATTCAGCATATTAAATCCTATAATTAAAATCAAAGCTTTGTTGAGAAATAAACTAAAAGTTCATTTTTAGCAAATCGAGATTTAATAAGTCGACAATTTGTAAAACCTGTTTACACTGAAAGTTTTTGTTTTTATCGGTGACTGAAAATTATTTTCAAATTTTTAAGGCCGATTTTCACTGAATTTTTTTTTTTACTTTTGAAATATATAATTTTTTTGTTGATAAAAAGTAAAATTTAATAAACGGGAGGGGAGGGGGTCTTAATAAGCTTAGGGTGGGTGGGAAAAATATCCAAAAATTAATAAACGGGGGGGGGGGGGGATGTTTATTAGGAACTCGAGAGTACACTATAAAAAATATTATTTTAGTATAAAAAAAAAAATTGTAAAAAAATGATAATTTACTATAAAATGCAAATAAAAATTGAATCCTTTAAAGCAAGAATTGACAGATATTTAATATAAATTTTTTGTGAAATTTATAACTCTAATTTTTTTAATATATAACTTTGATTTTTAACAAATTGTAAATTATTATAAATAAAATATAGAGTAGTCATAAAGGCTTTCATTACTTTTTATTTAACTCGCTACAACATCTATACTATTTACTACTATTGCTATAAATTTCAATTCTTTGAAGTACGTGCAATTTGTATAGTTATGTACCAAATGTACGATACGCTTGTTAGGCCACGAAGATCGACACATAAAATTTTAAAATGTAAATGTAAAATATGTAATGTAAAATAAAGAATCTTAAAAAAAACCGTCGCATAAAACAAGGCAGATAGAACCGTATAAGGTTCTATCTTTAAGTTGAAAAAATTTAACAATTAAAGTTTTAATTAATAATAAAAACAAACCACTTAAAAAATGATATATTATATATCATTTTTTAACATTTTTAACAGATAACATAAACAACTTATAATTTATAATTATAATGAATAACAGCTGTAAAACATGTATTAAATAAATATTGAAAGTTAAGTTCTCACAACATAAAAAAGGCAGATAGAACCCTATAATTCTAATGTGACGTAACGTAATCTGTATAATTATTTTTTAACTTCGTGTTTATGTAATAATATACCGTCTGTATGTTATTTATATTAAAAAACAGTTTTAAATGAAATCTTTTCTCTCTCAAAATATGTACGATTAGCTAAAAGTGTTTTACTAAAAACATTTAAACAATTCGCAAAAACAATTTCAAAACAAAAACATCAATTTAAACATTAAGTATTATTTAAAAAAGTTTTTTTTCTTCTTTAATAGAATTTTTTTTACCAACGCTAAATTATCGTATAACATCACTGAATCATGCTGATGAACCTGTGCAATATAAAACTTGTTGCTACTACAACCATATAAACGTTTCCAAGACATCGAAACAATTCAAATAAACAAGGTTTAAGATCATTAAAAATGCTATTCACAAATAAAAACATTTTTGTAAAAATTTAAAATTGATGTCTAATAACTTCTATTCGATAAATTATTTCTTTAGGTTAAACTATTTTTATTTGAGCAACTGGAAATCCTTTTTATGTCCTGTCGCAACATAGTTTACGTTTTCGAAAGCTTGGAGCGAAGAACTGCCAGAGTAATAAAAACAGCTTCCTAATTGTAAAAAAATTTTATAAGAGTCTATAAGAATACACAGATCTCTATATAAATGTAAGTTTTTATGGATCTTTGTATGGAATTCTAGATTTATTTACTCGGTGTAGTTAAGGCAATTTTAAAATAATATACCGTCTGTATGTTATTTTGTCGACTACGACATATTTCCGTTAAATAATCAGGTCTGCGAATTATGAAAAGACAAATAAAACTAAAATGATAAATTTTGCGGTATCATAAAAAATAAATGTTTATAACAAAAAAACCAAGACCAAAGATTCTTTTTAAAAAAAAAAAAAAAATAATCATAAAATCACAATTGTCTGTCCAAATTTAAATAAGATTTTAAATAAATACGGTTTTTTAGCTAAAATGAACATCGTAGTTTAATAATATGATCTGTTCTGATCGTTTATTGGCAATTTTTCTTTAATTATAAACTCTTTCTTTGTCGGAATTTTAGTTTTTTTTTTGTGAAAATTGATGGAAATTTTGTATTTTGACAACTATATATAGTTATTATACTTCAAAACTGATTAGAACTAGGATATATAGTAAATTAAGGCACTGTTTCAAAAGATTAAATAAATTCATGTTAACGCCGATGAGGGAAAATCTAAAAACAAAAAGGTGTTATTTAGATTTACTATTAGGTGAAAAGGTTTTGAAAATTATATGAAAAAAAAAAAAAAGTTTCTTTAAATATTAAAAAAAGCAAAAAAAAAGCAAAAAAAAATTACACCATCTAAAGCTCTTGTTTGGACGTAATACGCTGATAAAACCAAGGTAATTTCAAATAAAATAATTCGAATAATTTATAAATCGCGTTAACTACACTGAGTAAAGACCTTAAATCCAGAATTCCATAAAAAGATCCAAAATGTTAACATTTATCTCAATTTTTAAATCCATAGTCGATTTCAAATTATTCAAGTAAGATGCCTTCCATAAAGTGCGTACGCAGGTATTGGGGAGGTAATCAAAAATGATGAACAAAAATTGTTTTAGTGTTCTTGTCTTATTCAATTTAAACCATTTTACAAATAGCATTTCTGCTACCAGATTTTTTGATTTTTTTTTTTGTTTTTGCAAACTATTTATTATTTCCCATCAGAAAATAAATATAAAAAAAAATTAAATTATTATTTTTAGAATTAATAATATTTTTAGTGGTGTGTAGTGTACGACCTTATGAAAAGCACATTAAATTTCTATATCAAAAATATATCAACATAGGTCTATTACCTAATAGAAAGTCTTTTATATTTAAGTTCATATATATATATATATATATATATATATATATATATATATATATATATATATATATATATATATATATATATATATATATAAACTTATATATATATATATATATATATATATATATAAAAAGTAAACAAGTTAAAAAATATATTAAAAAGTTGAAATACCTCAGTTCTAACAGTTCTAGTTCCTTGATTTGAACAATAATTAATAAAATGATCAAAAAGTAGTGTCACGTCGGTGTCACGTAGTGATTCTTCTGACTCAAAACTATACTCCAGTCCTTTTGAACCACCAAAAACAAGTAGAAGATGACTAAGTAAAAATATTTTTAATTTAACAGAAAATTATAAACTTCTTAGTTATTCTTTAATTGGGTAAAAATGATTTAAAAACTGGAAGCTAGTTATCAATTATAATAGCATTGCAAAAACATAAATTTGAAAAATTTCTTTACCCAATTTGTAAATGTTTTTAGGCAACCTAAATATTTATAATTTAAATTAAATTACTAATATTTATATTTATATCTAAAATACGAATATTAAATAATTTTTATTTTATTTTGGATAACCAAAAAAAAAATGCAAGAACAAATAAAGTCGATTAAAAACAAATGTTATTCCAAGCAAAAAATTTGATTCATTAAAATGAAAAGGATAAAGTCTTATAAATTTTTTTTTAATTAAAAATATTAAAATTTTAAATTTTTTAAAATTACAACACGCATAAAATTATTATTCATTAAAAAAAAAATATTGAAAACTACTTTACTCTATTTAAACTGACACTAAAACACAATGTGTAGGTTGATTTAAAAGTTTTGAAAGCGACACCTGTTAACTAGTATAGGAATCAAAATTTTTATGTTATTTAAATATTTCATCATTTATTAAAACAAAACATAAAATTATATTTCAACTTGCCAATTCACTCTTTGGAAAAAAACAAATATTCTGCAGTTTTGAAATTTTTAAAAGGTTTAGCATTAGAAATTCATAAAAAAGGTGAGCGTGTTTCTTCTGCACCGATGGGTCAGAGTTTAAACATGGTAGTACAAGTAAATAAAGGTGGATCATGTAGCGGACGCCCAAAAATTAAAATTGCAGAAATTATTGAACAAGTCTATAATATTTTTCGCTTTGAGCTTAACTGTTTAGTTTTGCCCCATGGCCCCAAGCCATCTTGAAGTGGCCCTGTATGAATGTATTAATGAAATTCATAAGCATCAAGTAAACAATAAAATATATATTTAATGAAATACACAATCTAAAGTTTAATTAGGTATAAATAATGCTAACATATTATGAATTCGATAAAAGGTTAAGAAAGTAAACAAAAAACTAGGTAATAGTTATAATAGCACATTGTTATTTTATCAACAAAAATTAAAGATTGAAAAGTTAAACTGAATGAAAAGATATAAGATTTTTAGATTTTTACTTGACTAAATCGACTTTTATTAAATTAGTAGGAAGCCCATAATCGATTAAATGGACTTTTTCAAAGTTGACTTTTGAATATTTAGTCAGTTTTAGTCTAAGTGGGAATCAACACAACTCAAAAGTTAATGATTTTTATTTTAGCAATTAAAAATATAGAACACTATAAGCTATGCAAAGAAAACTCGAAACAAGGCCTGCAATATGCCTTACATTCTAATTGGTCACACACTCTTGTGATTCTGATTGGTCACACACTTCTTTTTTTAAATTGTTAAAACCATACCATTCAAGATAATTCAAGATAATTTAGTGCAAAAATCATAAAACTACTCCTAACAAAATATTTGGATTTGAAAAATCCAAAATTTGGGGTCAAAAAAAAACTTATAAATCAGGAACCATCTGAGCATTCCCAAAATCCATTGAGGGACAACCAATCAATTTTCATTTTGTCAGAAAATATAACCAGTTGTCATTAGTTGCCCCCTCAGGTAGGTCTCAACTTCTTCCTTTAAAAACAGTAGCAAAAAGCTTCCACTGCTTATTAACTAAAAAAATCTTGTAATGTCCTTATCTTTGCAGGAAGGACATGTTGAAATATGATGTGTAACTTCACTGCAACTGTTATTTTGTAATTTTCTACCCAGGTTGAACAATGATTCTTTAATGTGTTTTTGGCTTTAGACTTACACCAAAATAAGAGTAAACAAGATTACCCAGAAGCCTAAATGCTTTAGCAAATGATTTCAAAGAGACTGGAAACAAGTTATAGCACTTATCTAATTTTTAAATATTTTTGGGCAATTATTAACATTACATGATTTATTTTTTAATGATTTTGAAATACTTAAATTATTTTAAATCTTTTTAAATAACTCTGGATCAGCTAATTTGCTTATTGCTTTGAAATATGATTTGTTGCCCCTTCCATCAAATAACGTTCTGGAGGAGAAAAAATGGTTGACAAGGTCATTGTCACTGCAAATTAAAAGACTTTCATAGATATTGTTAAAATATTCTTTTGATCTAATCTTAGTGATTGTAGTTCCCACTTGGATATGGGATAAGTTCCCACTTGAGGACATACCACACATGACTTTTCAGATTTTGATATCTGCCACACAAAAAAATATTCAAATATAGCTTGTTAAGCTCCATTTTAATGATTTGTCTATTATATAAAATATAAAATAATAAAAAGATATCTTAAAATATATATATATAAAAAAAACAAAAACCATTGACATCTGTTGTTCTGAAATATGGAAACAGTTTGAAATATGGGAAAAATTCAAAATCTTCGATAAAAAAAAATCATCAAGTTGGTGGTCAATATGTTTGTGTTCTGCTGCTAACTTGAAAAACAAATTTACTGTAATTGTGTTTTGAATCTTCTTTTGCTATTTTTTTTTGTGCTTCTTAATTAAAAAGTTGATTTTATGTCAATCATACTTGATTATTTTATATCAATCATACTTTATTATTGAATGTCAATCATACTTTATTATTTTATGTCAACCATACTTCATTATTTTATGTCAATCATACTTTATTATTTTATGTCAATCATACTTTATTATTTTATGTCAATCATACTTTATTATCATTTATGTAATCAAGAAAAATTGCTCTTATTAATTGTAACACTTTTAATAATCGGTAGCAAGTTTTGCTCAATCTTCATCAATTTTTTTTATTTTTTACTCAATTATTATTATTTGCTTTTCCATTAATTACCTTAAAATAAGAGGAAAATTTGTAAATAATTCCTTTGCTAATAATTGAAAGATATGTTTGAGAAATAAGACCATTAACTGGAGGTAGTGCAATTAGTTTTATGTCTTCTTTTAGGTCTACCTAAAGTAAATTCAATTCTAAATTAATACAAAATTTTCTCATTCATACAAAAGCTTAAAGGGATCCTAAACTCTTAACACAGGTTGTGTTCATATTTGAGAGTGTTAAAAAAAAAGGTTTAAACCAAGTTTTTTTGAATAAAATAAATAATGAATGCATACCTAGAAAAACTAATTTTGTTGTTTTAGCCGCAGTTTGTCTTTTTACTCAAAAACTTGGTGTCTTTAAATTAAATGTTGCAATCTACAGACTTAAGCGATTCCATTAAAGCGTATTTAATTCATAAAAATTTTAGTATTTGACGTCACGGTAGATTTTTGACAAATGAAACTCTGGAAAAACTTTTATTTATTTTTATTCATATATTTTTTCATTATTTGTTTAGTTATTCATTTTCTACTTTTAACATTTAAAGAGCTTTTTTTTATTTTTTTAAACATCTTCGCTTCCAAAGGATGAAGATTGTAGAGCAAGATAACAATTGACAGACGACTTAAAAGATTGCAAATTATATTAATCAGGAAAGCAAGATGAAGGAAGCGAATTCCAAAGGACTGATTTTCGAGGAAAAAAACTAGACAAATAAGAGTTTTTGGAGCACTTAGGAACAGTAACAGAAAAAGGATGAGACTTAATTGAACGACAAGTAACACGAGAATGAATTTTTGTAGATGGCACAAGAGTCCATTATAGTATTTGTAGAAAAGAGAAAGAGAAGCTACATTATGACGATGTGACAGAGGTTGAAGGTTAGCTGCAAGAGTAAACTATGTTTACAATGCGTTTTTGCACCTTGTCTAAAAGAGAAAGGGCATCATTAGAAGATCCACCCCAGATATGGCAACAGTATTCCATACAAGGCCGGATTTGAGATTTATAGAGATAGAGAATAGAATCCAGAGTAAGAAAATGATGAGCTCGATAAAGAGAAGCAACTTTAGCAGATGCTAATTTTGCAACGGATTTAATATGTTTCCAAGATCAGAAGTAAGAGTTAATCCTAGAAGATGAAGGGTAGGAGACTCATCGAGTACATTACTGTTCATAAATATAGGAAGGTCTAAACTATTGCGATAACGATTGGCTGAAAAAAATTGAGTTTTATCTGAATTAAAGTTCACCAGCCACTGTGAGCCCCATGCTGTAGCAGAAGTGAGATCCTTTTCAAGCTCAGATGCCCCCTGCAAGCAATCAGAGGGAGTTAACTTCTTATCGTGACAAGAATAAATGGTAGTATCAGCGAACAATGCCACCTTAGATGTGAGAATATCTGGAAGATCGTTAATGTAAATTAAAAAGCAAAAAGCAAAGTATAGGGCCAAGAATTGAACCTTGAGGAACCCCTGGGGTTACAGAATAAGAAGAGTGCTGTCCATCGAGGACAGCTTTTATACTACGATTGGAAAGGAAGGATTCGATAATCTGTTTCCAGATACACCGTAAGAAGAAAGCTTATCGAGAAGACCAGCATGCCAGACTTTATCAAACGCCTTAGAAATGTTAAGAGCGATGGCCTTACCCTCTCCACCTTTATCTAATGTGCGATAAAACCTATCGGTTATTACTGATAGCAAATCAGCCGTTGAACGAGAATATCGAAACCCATATTGATAATCAGAAAGTAGGTTATGAGATTCGAGTTGAGAGATTAAGTGTTTATTAATTAAAGATTCAAAAACCTTGCTTATGATAGGAAAAAGACTAATGGGACGGTAGTTAAACGAATCAGATCGCTCTCCAGAATTTTTAAAAATAGGGATAAGAGATGCTGCTTTCCATCAGGCTGGAAAACAAGACTCTGATAAGCACTTGTTAAATAGTTTTGAAAGGATAGAGGACAGCTCTGGAGAACACTTCTGCAAGACTATAACAGGTATGTTGTCCGGGCCGCAAGCTGTAGAAGAGTCTAAGCAGGAAATTACTTTAGATACAGAAGCTGGAGTGATACATGTCCTGCTGCCTTGTAGGATATCCTACAAGGCAGCAGGACATGAAGCAGATTGTACTGGGTTACATGTTACCAGTAGCAGGATAAACCTGACCTGGCTTTTTTAATTAAAAACCTAAAATATTTTATGCTGGTTTGTTGCTATAAATTGTTATTGCCCTATATTTAATGTAATTCAAGATTCTGATAAAAAATGTTAATATAAAAGATGTATATATAAAAATTGTTTAATTACCCGTATAAAATTAATTACAGCATTTTTAATTGGTTTCTAAATTTGCTTTAAATGAAGTTCGGGAAGCCAAATGAAAAAACTTTGTATAATCATGTCAAAATATATTTCAAACAAATTATTTCAATGACGGGGGTACTAAAGTCTTTTTATTACAAATGTGGGTAAAAAATAAATAACTAAATAAAAAGTTCAACATTAAACATCTTTTTTTTATTATATTGCAACGGTAAATACTGAAATTGAACTAAATTTACTTATTATTTTGAACGACTAAGCAATCCCCTAAGATTATGCGATATTGTGATATCAAAATCCCCTAAAATTATGCGACATTGTGCTGTTTATTGTTGTTGTTTATGTTGTTTATGTTGATTATTTTCATCAATTTCAAAATAGTCATAGATTGGACTGTTAGTTCCTTTGCTCATTGTTAATTTATTTTTATCTTACTTTTATCTCTAAGTTAAGAAAGAAATTCTATGTTAAGAAAGAAAAGTTTTTAATTTCATCATGCACTTTTTTTATAAAAGAGTAGAACAAAAGAGAAAGAAAAGTTTCACGTGATTAAACTTTGAATGAGAGTTGGATAGAATTTTTTTTTTTTTGCGCCACTCATTATTTTTTTAAATGACAGAAATAAAAGTTTCTTTGTAACTATTTTTTGAATAAATGGAAATTAAAAGTGAAAATTGCTTGAAAACTTCTATTTCTCAATTTTGTTAGTTTTTCATGGTAAGAGACAAATGCCAAATATGACACATAAATTGGGAAATACCAAATATAATATGTTTTTTAACATGCGTTACAACATTTTGACAATTTCAATTACCATCTAACTTGAATTATTGCTATTAATTATTGCGTCAATTATTAATAATTTGTCTGTATTTTTGTTAAATGTTAATTGTATAAAACGGGCAAAAATATACCTACTTCATGTTTTTAATTTGATGGTTATAAAATATTGAATAGTAAACTTATAATCAAAATTTAAAATGCTGACTTGTGCTATTTTTGGTTGTACTTATAATGCAAAACCAGGATCTCACATATTCTTTCACAAATTTTCATATCTGATACTACTGTCAACTGTATTGCTTAGTGTATTCTTGTACTTTTTTTTTATAACCTTAACAGGTTCTAATTGGTATGGAATTGCCAATATTTTAAAAATTTTGTTATCAAAAATTAAATGCAAAATATAATGATATTTCCTTTTTATCCATATCCAATTTAGCAAATTTAGCAAATTAATTTAAATCAGCGTAATCAAACATTTTTTTTTAATAAAAAAAATTTAACAGTTTATTAATTATTTCTAATTAATACTGTCAGTTAATAAAATTAATTGCTATTTACTTTTTTTTTGACGGGAAAACAAAAAATGTCATAGAGTAAAAATAACCAGAGAAGTTAGAAAATTGTTTAAATTAAAATAAGTAAGATTCAGAATATATAATATATATTATACTGCGCTCTCTTGCACAAAAACGAGAGACCCTATATATAAAGTTCCATATAATGTAAAATACTTGTATGAAAATCACAAGATTTGTAAGTAAAGTTTTAACATTTGTTTTAATTTAAAAACAAAAGAAATATATGTTAGATATATAAATCTAAATTATAATAAATTATAATAAAATCTTGTTAAAATATCTGTAAAAAAGCTCTTTTTTTTGCTCCTATAAAATAAAAATAATTTATTATTTTTACTTTTTACAAAATTTTGTTAGAAAAAATAATACAAATATAAATTTGTTTTGCTGTATGTTAAAAAAAATACTGCAATGTACTTATTGAATTTAAGTAGAAAAACGCAGCTTTGTTTAATTACATTTTTAATTTGTCAAAAATCTAAATACTAAAATATGTGACCTCAAATACAAAAACTTTTATGAATTGAATGCGCTTCAAAGGAATTGTTTAAGTCTGTAGATAACGATTTATAAATTAAAGACTCAGAGTTTTTGAGTAAAATGGAGACAGCAACCTTAAGCTAAAACAACAAGATTAGTTTTTCTCAGTATGCATTTTTAATTATTTTTAATCAAAAAACATGGTTTAAACCTTTTTTTTAACATTATTTTTAATATGAACACAACATGCGTTGGAAGTTTGGGATCCCTTTAAACAAATTAAAAAACACAGAGAAAACATACTTTTTATTTTACATAAATATACAGATATTATTTATATGTATCTGGTACAGCAGGGATGTGATCATAAAATAAATCTCAATGATGAACACATTAAGAAAGTTGTTTACAACCTTTCAGAGACCTTGACAATAAGTAATCTTATTAGGAGAATAACAATAAAGTGCAACAAGAACTGAACAAACAAACAAAAAAACAACAGGTAACTTCTTTTTTAAATATTTATTATGATAACAGGCTTGTTGGTATAATGTTTAAACTAATTGATTTTTGTGATTTATTTTAAGATAAAGAAAGAAAATAAAGAAAAATAAAGAACGAATAAAATAAAAAGTACTAATACAAAAAGAAAATTTTAAATTATTTATCCCACATACACAAATAGCCTAAACTCTTAGTTCATATATAATGTAAAACAGATGTCGACATATTTCAGATACAAAAAATTTAATGATATTTTATGATTGTATTTTTTATTCTTTATTTCAAAACTTAACAAAAATATTATATATAATTATAATTTGTAATTTTCTATTAAAAAAAAAAACTTTTTACTTGTATGATGGTATTTCAATACTATTAATATCTCCACCATTTTCAGAAGTACCTATGGTAAGATCATAACCTCCTTTGTATGGACAATTGGTAAAAACTGAGCTGAAATTTTCTGCAAGTCTCACAGAGTATCCCCAATATATTCCAGCTTCTTCACGTGGAGTTGAAGGAGTAACAACACGGCCAGTGAGATACCTTTTCTTTTCAATGGTTTCTAGAATAAAACAAAACCACATAAAATAATAAAACATACACAACATACCAATATATAAACCACATTGTAACTTACATCATACAACAACACATACAATACATAGCAACACATATACCATAAAACAATACACACATAACCAGGCCTCAGCGGGAATAAATGAGCACGAGAGCGGAGAAAAGCTCTCCTAACTTGGGGAGCTGTGCGAGCTGCTCCTCATTTAAACCGGCGCTCTTTTTTCATTTTAACTTTTTTTTTGCAGCAACCATGTTTTTTAAAAAGCATTACAGAATATTATGCAAATAACTTTTTTTTAAATGACATTGTATTTTTTATTTTAGTTACAACGATTATTATACTTTTGTGAGAAAAATTATACTTTTGCGAGAGCCATAAATTGCTCCCGTAAACCGTTTTTTTGTCAATCCTTGGCGGGAAGCGAGAGCTTTAGCTCTCTATTCATATGCATATATATATATATATATATATATATATATATATATATATATATATATATATATATATATATATATATATATATATATATATATATATATATATATATATATATATTTTTATATATATATATATATATATATATATATATATATATATATATATATTTTTATATATATATATATATATATATATATATATATATATATATATATATATATATATATATATATAAAATAAATAATTATCTATAATAAATATCCTTGTTTTAATGCATTAAATTTACATATGCATTGAGATATTTTACATACACCTAGAGTGATTTTGGATAAGCAACTTTTTTTAAATTAAATTCAAAGATGTCTTATGAGTAAGATCAAAAATGTTTTAAAAATGTTTAAAATGAATTGAAATTTTTGTAAAAAACTGTTACAAAAGTTTAACAGCTGGGTTCAATATAAGTGCTATTTCTAAATGAAATAAATTCAAAACAAAATTTAAAAAAAAGAAAATTTCAATTTTATTTAAACTTATTACTTAATATTGTTCAATAACAAATACATATAATTTTTAATTAAATTAATTGAAAAAATAATTGCAATATATATATATATTGTTTATTTGTGAAATGATGTATGGGTAATTATTTTTAGATGAAGAAAATTTCGACTAACCTTGTTCATATGGATCTAATTTTACTGTAACACGAATATTTGGTTTCAGGTGTTTATCTATTTTGACATCCTTCATTATACCAACATTAACAAATGATCCTTCTCCTTTTTTTACAGGCCTATTTAATGTCACACCTTCCCTATAAGCCACAATGTCATCAGCACGCATGTGATGTGGACAATCAAGCGGGTTTAAAATTCCTAAAACGAAGTGTTTTAGAGTTAATAATAATCAATTGATTAGCTAATGGTGAGTAATATTTTATTTATTAATTTATTTTTCATTTTTTATTTTTTCCAATATGTAGCAGCCACTAAAAACTGAATAATAAATAAAATAATAAAAATTAAAAATTTTACCTGCATATTTTAAATCTTGATGAACTGGAAAAAACTCTTTACGAAGATATTGTGGGCATTCAAGATACTGCAATATGCGCGCTAGTAAAATATTAGGATCACTTGACTTGGTTGAACCTTTGAATAGTCCCTCGTTTGTTTTTTTGGATAAAGATTCATTAAAAATAATAATTTCATCAACATTAAAAATAACGGCAGCTCGAGCAATCTGAAAAAGTAACATAAGTTATGCTAATTTAAAAATAATAACTCATAAAATTATTTCAATTTATAAAATATATTCTACTATAAAAAGTTTATTTTCTGCTCTGTTAAAAAAAAATTTGAAACTTATTCTCAAAATATTATAACTAATATCAGAAAGGAGCATAAAACACATAAGTTATTTTTAAAAATGTCACAAAAATAAATCTATGGTTTGTAATAACTGATGTAAATATATATATTAGCACAAATATTTATACATTTTTTTTGTTTTCCGATTATACTTGTTTTTGTGTTTCCTGTGATTACAATGATTGCAATTACTATGGCAAACTCAGGATTCCTGAGATTGCAATAGTGATTGCAATCACAGAATTACAGAGAATCACAGAATTCATATTAAGTATAAATTTTATGATTCTCTGTACAATCCAACGAAACAAAGCATAATGAAAAAATTTATAAAAATAACAATTAACTATGTGTAACAATAAAATAGTTTTTATTTAGAAAAAAATTACAGAAAGTAGTTAAATGTTTGTAAAAAAAAAGTTGTATCTGTCAGCAAATAGCCATAAATAAATGTAGTAAAAAAAGGTTGCTGGTTGCTAATCAAAAAGTTGTAGACAAACAGATATAATAAAATCAAGGCTTTCCAGGAAAGGCATGCGGTTTTTTGATTTGTATGACCACACGCAAGTATTTTACTTAAGACAACTAAGTTGTCTTAAGTAAAATAAATCTAACAAAATAAAAATAAATTAAAATAAATATAGAAAGAATTTAATAATTTAAATAATTTGTGTAATGTTTTTATTTTTGTTTCTTCAGACTGGTTGTTACATTAAGCAACAAAATAAGAAAAGGTGAAGCAAAAATAAAAAAACAGTTTTAAGTCTACAATTAAAAAAATGACTTTCTTTTATTTAACTTTCTTTTTAAAGAGAAAAGCAAAAATATAAATTGCAATATATTTGTATAATTTTAATGTAACAATAAGGGCTGAATTAAGCGATTGCAAAATGCAAAATCTGGAAAAATATCTGGTATTCAAAATTTTATTTAATGCAAAGCTGTGCACTTTGTTTTCAGGGGGCGAATCGACTTAAATTTGTAAGCAAAAAAAACATAAAAAATAAAACAATACACTTAAAACTACAAAACACTCTAGTAACTAACTGCATTATAAAAGTTATAACACTATAATAGTGTTATTACTTTTATAACATACTTATAACTTTTATAATTCATTCTTTGTTCAAACAACATAAGTAATCACAAATTTTAATTGAAGTAGAAAAGCATCTAGAAGAAAAGAGTGGATATTCAAATTTAAGTAACTTAATCAATTTTTATTAGTTGATTTTAAAATTAACACACGTTTTTAAGGACTATTAGCAACGTTTTTCATAACGATAAACTTTTTATAATGTAGGCTTATATATATCTAAGTGAAGAAAAAAGAAACTTTTATTAAGTAAAAATTATGTAGTTATTTTTTATTTAACCTCGTCAAAAAAAACAATTATATAGCTCTGATATCATTCATCAAGCACTTTTGCTGAATATATACTCACAGCAAAATTAAACTTATTTATATATATGCATATATATGTATATATATTTATACATAAATGCATATAACCCGGGGACCTGGCAATTCGGTTGTTTTACCGGGTACTCGGTATCAGCCATTTTGTTGCAGTACCCGGCACCGGGTAACTTCAAATTGATTTTTCCTTTAGTTTACACTTTAACCATTAAACTTCATGATATAAGTCTAAGAGTGTTATGTAGTCGATAACCACAAAGTTCTATTAACTTAAAACAATCTCACTTAAAATATTTTTTAATACATTTTTGCAAAAAAATTTATATGGATACAAAAACTGTAATGCTAAATGAAATAATTTGAGAATACGAATATAAAGAACGGGAAAAAATGTTTTAGAATAGCTTCTTTTTATTCTGTTAGAACACAAGATAATTTTTAGCAATTTAGTTTTGAATGAAACGCTTATAATGCTTTTGAACGCTGATAGCACTTTTCATTTGTATCAAGCAAAAATCATAAAAGTAGAGATATATAATTATCTAAATATTATAGACATTTATCATATTTTAATTTCGAGCGTATTATTAAAAAATTATCATTTTATATAAAATAAACGAAAACTTTGATATCAAAACTAGTTTCATTATCTTTATAGAAATTTTATTTGAAAGAAAAATTATGACAAAAAAAAGTATAGCGTGGAATTTTTTGATATAAGCACGACTCCTCATATGAGTAAGTGCAAACTATGTGATAGTTTAGTTACGAGAGAAGGAAAATCTTTCAAGTCTACATTTCTCTTCATGGAACTACAGCAATGGTAAAACATTTCTGTTTAAAGCATTCCAAAGAGTTTGAACTTTTTTTTTTTTTTTTTTTTTTTAACATCTTCACTTCCAACAAGGCTGCAAGCAACCACTATAAGAGTTGGAAGTTACTGGAAGAGAAAAGACTAAATCTGTAGAGCAAGATAACGATTGACTGATGACTTAAAAGATTGCAAATTATATGAATCAGGAAAGCAAGATGAAGGAAGCGAATTCCAAAGAACTGATGTTCGAGGGAAAAAACTAGAAGAATAAGAGTTTTTGAAGCACTTAGGAACAGTCACAGAAAAAGGATGAGACTTAATTGAATGGCGAGTAACACGAGAATGAATTTTAGTAGATGGCACAAGGGACGCTAGCTCTTTAGAGCAGTGCCCATTATAGTATTTGTAGAAAAGAGAAAGAGAAGCAACATTACGACGATGTGACAAAGGTTGGAGATTGGCTGCCAGAGCAGGTCCAACTATGTTTACAGCATGAACTTGCGGAAGAAAAAAAAAAGGTTCAATCATTGCCGTCTATTTCTGAAGCCTCAGTTGCTTCTACTACCAATACAGTACAAAGTAACATTATTCAGGCTTTACACAAAAAAAAAAAGTGGAATATTGATGACCACAGATCAATTCAATCCATAAAATAATAGGAAAACTTATCACATTGGATATTCAAGATACGGGGTTTAATGAACTGATTAAAGATGCTTACCCCAATTACAAATTACCATAAAATAGTATTTACAAAAAGGTTTAAAAACTTTTGAAATCCCGTTAAGCAAAATTCATCTTATTGTTACCGATAATGCAAGCAATATAAAGACTGCAGTAAAAAACAGTGGAATGTCATCAATTCCATGCTTTATCCATACTTTGCAGCTATGTATTCATGACTCTATATTTAGCCAAGAAACCATCAAGGAAATTTTAACTTTATGTAGAGTAAAAACAACACATTTTAATCATTCGCCAATAGCATGTGCAAAATTAAAATCAATTTAGTAGCAGTTTAGTACTGTACCGTTTATTTAGGCCCGCTCCACCAGGAAAGAAAATTAATTTTGAACTAAATATAGTTATTAAAAAACTGTTGCACAACTTTTGAAAAAAGTTAGGCCCTACAACTCAGTCCCCTTACCCTGCGGGGTTTTGCTAAATGGTACTTTCGCCACATAACTTTTGGTTAGTTAGCGAAAAAAGCGTATTTTGTGTGAATTGTTCAGCGCTAGAGATTTTTGGAAAAAATCTCTAGCGCTGAACAATTATTAATCTATTTCTAGGTGCCAAGTACCCGGACTCGGATCCGGTTTTTTCAGCCAGGTACCCAGAATCAAAGATTCGGCATAAACTGGTTCCAGCACATATATATATATATATATATATAATATATATATATATATATATATATATATATATATATATATATATATATAGATGCCGAGTACCCGGACTCGGATCCGGTTTTTTCAGCCAGGTACCCAGAATCAAAGACTCTGCATAAACTGGTTCCGGCACATATATATATATATATATATATATATATATATATATATATATATATATATATATATATATATATATATATATATATATATATATATATATATATATATATATATATATATATATATGTACAATGTATGTATTTTTCAATGTAATGTAATTTATTTTACATAATTCTTAAAATATTATCATTAGTTGAGTAATTTTTCTAGGTAAAGAAATAACAAATAAATAAACAAAATAATAATACAAAAAACAACTCTATTTTACATTAAAAAATCTCCTTAATATCTATATTGTATCTTTTTAAACTCAAACCATAATTCAATGTATATAAAATTTATATAAAAAGTATATGCACCTGCCCAGCTAAGTAAGTACGCAGCTCTGGAGATTGAGAATTTTCCAAAATAGATCCAGGTAATGCAATGCTCACAGTCGATAATTGCCCTTCAATTATTATACATGATTAAAACTAAATGAGAAATGTTCAGCTATAAAATGCTTATGTGTTAAACGACATGTACCTGACTTTTTCTTATTGACATCAGTTATAGAGCCAGCGATTGATGCATCTAAAAGTAGTATTATTATTAAATAATAAACAAATTTTAAACATATATATATATATATATATATATATATATATATATATATATATATATATATATATATATATATATATATATATATATATATATATATTGAGCCTTCAATAATAGGGTCAACATTTTTCAATGGTGACCTAACCAAGTCTGAGGTTGGCAACCTGAGACTTGGTTAGGTCAGCATTGAAAAATTGGTTTTATGGTTTAACCTTAATATAAATGTCAATAATACAGTAGCTTTTTTTACTGATACACATTTTAAAACAATTAAAGGCCTTGTTTTAAAGCGTTACGCCTAGAGTGATATACGTACTTAGCAACTTTTACATATGTGTAGAGCAGTTTTGGTTAAGCTACTAATAATTTAATTGGTTAAGCTTCTAATAATTTTTTAACTTTTAAATTAGCGGTAACATAAAAGAAGTAATTAACTTTTAAAAAAACCACATTAACTTTTGAATAATGATATGTAAAAATAATTGTTACAAAAAAGAAGTTACGTTAAAAATAATTGTAGTAACTTTTCATTGTGATAATTTCATCTTACCTTTTTATAGCAATTAATTTTACGCTAAACTTTTTATTTAAATATTTAGCAACATGAAAAAATTTCGTCAATCCTCAACTACAAAGTTTTTGCAAATAATTTTTATAAAAAGTAGTTATTTTTTCAAAGTTTTCAGTAAAAAACTTTTAAAAAATCTTAATTCTAAATTTATTAATACAGAATATAAATGTTTTTTGCAATATTGATTTTTTTATAGTTTTTTACTAAATTTTTATTAAAAACATATGCAAAAAATTTTTAGTTATGGATTCACATTTTTTTAATATCTCAAAAAAATGTCTTAATATTTTTGTTATCATGGTAACAAAAATATCTAGACATTTTTTCGAGATATTAAAAAAAATGTGCCAATGAATGAACAATCTATTTTTATTTTACTAAAAATACTTCTTCATTAAGTATTACTCTTTGCTTTTCTTCTTAGTTAAAGATACCTTTACCTTTAAGTTACCCTTGCATAACTGGGGGGCCTGGCATAGAAGAAAAAAAAGTTACCTGTTACTTGCAATTTTTGAATTAAGACAGTTTGTTAAATTTCTGCGTGCAATTCAATTTATTTTTTTTAATAAATCAAGTTATATTATTGAGTTAAAGAAATCACGAGTAGACTATAACATCTGCTGATATACTAATATTACGTTGAATATATTTATATAATAGAGGTTTCATTATGCACGGGCACATTACAGACTCCTTTAAATAAATACTAAGGCACATTTTAGTTTAATGACAGTCTTTATTCTTTACTAATGACTATGTATTTTTCCATATATATAAGACAAACTAGTATATAAAAATCTAGTATATTTCCATTCTCTCCAAATAGTTTAAAGTTCGAATATGGATAGTATTTTGTAGGACAAAAAATTTACTTTGAAAACTCTGTTCATTACAATCTCAAGAATGCTCTAACAACTCACCGTCACAATTACCATCACTATCTAAACATGTGCGAGTCTTAAATCCTGCGACTTTGCCAATGCCTTTAGAATTGAAACTATCACAGAAAAAGAGAAGACTTTCGTTATTAAAATCAAATGTAAGTTATGTGACCTTCATCAAAATAAAAAATTACTTAAAACTAATGGTACCGTATGGACAGCTGCCCTACGGTTTTTAAATGACACAAGTCATGTTGAAATATTTTAATATGTTGGTATATTTTATTTAAGTAAGTATATAAATAAAAATAAAAATATTGTTCAATAAATAAATTAAATTTGTTCTTAACAAAGTTTACCTTGTATTTACTATTTTTTTATTTTATTATTCTGAACTAAATTGCTTACAAAAAAAAAAAGAGTTTTGTAATTATACATAGAATGAAAATACTTTTGCGTTTGTTTATAAGTTAAGTTACTTAATTTTTAATGAACAAATTTTAACGAATTTTAAATCCTTTAATTGGTTTTGTAAACACAACCAATGAAATTAATTATTAAAAAAGAAGTCTTTACTATAAACAGTTACGATTCAAATTATTAAATGTACTTATTTTGTTTTATTAGAATATTTTTTTAAGTTTGCACGTAGAAGTATTAAAAAAGTTTTTTGTTTTAAAACTAGTTAACAAATGAGTTTGCAAAATTAAGACTTTTATATTTAATTTAATTTTTTCTTTTTAATTTTATAAAGTTCAAAAAAAAATTGTTAAAAACGATATTTCTCTATAGCTCTGTGTTTCTTTGTGATTTGTTTACAATGTAAAACATTTTTACGATTACGTAAAACATTTAAGAATTAAATTCTTGGCAAACGTGTTCTAAATTATGTATCAAAAATATGCTCAAAGCAGACACAATAATTTTTTATATTAGACAACGCAAGTTAAAACACTAAGCAGCATAAATTTAAAAAATACTTAAAAACCTAAATTATTCTTTGCGAGTCAAAACAAAATTAAGGTCAGGTCAGGTTTTCCTGCTACTGGTAACATGTAACCCAGTACAACCTGCTCCATGTCTTGCTGCCTTGTAGGATACGCTTTTTTAGGCAAAGGCTAGGAGAAGTTAACTCCGAATTAAAACACCCCCTGCCTTGGGGCTCTTGGTTGAGTAAAGGCTAGAGATGGTGTCTCGATAAAAATACTCATCTTGGGCAGATGTTAAATGCATCCAGCTGCTGTCTTGTAGAAGGCCTCCTAGGCAAAGACTTAAGGGGTAAACAGATTCTATCTGTTGACCAGTCTCGCACCCCTTCCTCATCTATTAGGCTGGCGCAGATGTATTTTTAATACACTGTTTCCAGTTTAGGATGTTGAACGCTGGATCTTCTTGACTCAATGCGTGGGTATTGCTTGTGTCTCTATTTTTATGACTGGGCAACTCATTCTATTATCTCCTAATAAGGGTACAGCTCTAAAACTCAGTTTTATGGTTCTGAGGCCGGCTGGTAGTCAGGTTTCCCGAACTCTGTGGTAGCTCTCAGAGAGGCTGATTCCATCAACAGCCGAAAAATATCAGAGTACTAACAGTGCCATGTTGCGCATGGATGGTGTCCCTGTTTGTACTTTTGGTGTGCATTGCAGAGGCCACATTTGGAGCCCTTTGCTACGGCTTAGGGTTTATTAATAGTAATGAGGCTATTGCTTAGTTGTTAAATAGTGTACTGAGTACTATCTATACTTAAGTCAAGTTCTTTATAAATTTAAAATGACTAAAGTACCTAAAACTAATAAACACAAAAAACCATCGTCATCACCAAGTTCTCTAAACCTATCATTTACTAATATTCGTGGTCTTCGAAGTAACTTTTCTTCTGTTGAGTCTTATCTCTTGCAAAGTTCACCAGACCTACTTGCTCTTTGTGAGACTAATTTGAGTTCGGCTGTCCCATCTTGTGATCTTAGTGTTGATGGTTATCTTCCTTTAATTCGTAAAGACTCCAATAATCACATGCTTGGCCTGGGCATCTACATTTGTAAGAACTCACCCATTTGTCGTGAAACTAGGTTTGAATCTACAGACTATTCATTTATGTGCTTTCGTTTAGCACAACTTCACTCTATCGCCTTTCTATTTGTTCTATATCGCTCTCTTTCATCCCAAGATTGCACTATTCTTGATGTTATTTCTGATCAAATTGACCAAGCCCTCTCTCTTTATCCATCGGCCAATATCGTCGTTGTTGGTGACTTTAATGCCCATCACACCGATTGGCTTGGCTCTAGTGTCAGTGACTCTGCTGGCGTTAAGGCCCTCAACTTTTGCCTTTCTCAATCTCTAACTCAAATAGTCAACTTTCCAACTCGTTTTCCAGACAACCCTAATCATTTACCTTCTCTACTCGACTTATGTCTTGTTTTGGATCCTAGTCAGTGCTCAATTTCTCCACATTCACCCTTAGGTACTTCTGATCACGGTTTGATCTCTCTAAAACTATTATCAAATTCTTCTACTTCATCAGAATCCCCCTATCATCGTACCACATACAACTACCTTAAAGCTGACTGGGACTCTTTCCGTGATTTTCTTCGTGATGGCCCTTGGGTAGAAATCTTTCGTCTTCCTGCTGACAAATGTGCTTCTTACATAACTTCGTGGATTCAGGCTGGCATGGAATCTTTTATTCCCTCTCGACAATTCCAGGTCAAGCCTCCTCTTCTCCTTGGTTTTCCTCACATTGCGCTGCAGCAATTTCTAATCGAAACCGTTACTTCCATATCTATCAGCAAAACAATTCTCCAGAAAACAGACATCTGTTCACTATCGCCAGAAACCATTGTAAAAAGGTTTTGTCTGACGCCAAAGCTCGCTATTCCCAGGTCATTAAATCTCGTATCTCATCACAAAAATTAGGCTCTCGAGACTTCTGGAGAATCTTTAACAGTATCAATAATAAGGGCAAATCTGTTATTCCTTCTCTCTTGTATGGTTCAGACTTTGTCACCTCACCTAAAGACAAAGCTGAATTGTTTGCTAAGAACTTTTCATCAATATCATCTCTTGATTCCACTAGTTGCGTTTTACCTGACATAGCCGTCAAACAGGTTGATCCCTTGCTTGACATTCGCATCACTTCAGCTTCTGTATCTAAAGTAATTTCCTGCTTAGACTCTTCAACAGCTTGTGGTCCTGACAACATTCCTGTCGTAGTCTTGCAGAGGTGTTCTCCGGAGCTTTCATCCATACTTTCTAAACTATTTAACAAGTGCTTATCAGAGTCTTGTTTTCCATCATGCTGGAAAGCAGCATCTGTTATCCCTATTTTCAAAAATTCCGGAGAGCGATCTGATTCATTTAACTACCATCCCACTAGTCTTCTTCCTGTCATAAGCAAGGTTTTTGATTCTTTAATCAACAAACACTTAATCTCTCATCTTGAATCAAATAACTTACTTTCTGATCATCAATATGGATTTCGGTCTTCTCGTTCTACAGCTGATGTGCTAACAGTAATAACCGATAGGTTTTACCGTGCATTAGATAGAGGTGGAGAGGTTAAGGCTATCGCACTTGACATTTCTAAAGCTTTTGATAAAGTTTGGCATGCTGGTCTTCTCCATAAGCTTTCTTCTTATGGTGTAGCTGGTAACGTCTTTAAGATTATTGAGTCCTTTCTTTCCAATCGTAGTATAAAAGTTGTCCTCGATGGACAACACTCTTCTTCACATCCTGTAACTTCAGGGGTTCCTCAAGGTTCAATCCTTGGCCCTATACTCTTTTTAATTTACATTAACGATCTTCCAGATATTCTCACATCTAAGGTGGCATTATTCGCTGACGACACTACCATTTACTCTTGTCATGATAAGAAGCCTACACTCTCTGATTGCTTGGAGGGGTATCTGAGCTTGAAAAGGATCTCACTTCTGCTACAGCATGGGGCTCACAGTGGCTGGTGAACTTTAATTCAGATAAAACTCAATTTTATTCGGCCAATCGTTATCGTAATAATTTAGATCTTCCTATATTTATGAATGGTAATGTACTAGATGAGTCATCTACCATTCATCTTCTAGGATTAACTCTTACTTCTGATCTTTCTTTTGAACCGTATATCAAATCCATTGCAAAATTAGCATCTGCTAAGGTTGCATCTCTTTATCGAGCTCGACACTTTCTTACTCCAGATTCTATTCTCTATCTCTATAAATCTCAAATCCGTCCCTGTATGGAATACTGTTGCCACATCTGGGGCGGATCTTCTAATGATGCTCTTTCTCTTTTAGACAAGGTGCAAAAACGAATTGTAAACATAGTTGGACCTGCTCTGGCAGCCAATCTCCAACCTTTGTCTTATCGTCGTAATGTTGCTTCTCTTTCTCTTTTCTACAAATACTATAATGGGCACTGCTCTAAAGAGCTAGCGTCCCTTGTACCATCGACTAAAATTCATTCTCATGTTACCCGCCATTCAATTAAGTCTCATCCTTTTTCTGTGACTGTTCCTAAGTGCTTAAAAAACTCTTATTCTTCTAGTTTTTTTCCTCGAACATCAGTTCTTTGGAATTCGCTTCCTTCATCTTGCTTTCCTGATTCATATAATTTGCAATCTTTTAAGTCATCAGTCAATCGTTATCTTGCTCTACAGATTTAGTCTTTTCTCTTCCAGTAACTTCCAACTCTTATAGTGGTTGCTTGCAGCCTTGTTGGAAGTGAAGATGTTTAAAAAAAAAAAAAAAAAAAAAGAATCGCTGTTTAAGTAATTAACAAGGGTTTTTGTTTATCAATATGTTAATTTTTTTTGTTTACTCTCGAAATTTTTAAAAATAAAAAATCATTTATAATGATTTAAAAACAATAATTACTCAAAAACAAATTTCAGAAATAATTAAAATATATATATATATTTTCTTAACAAAATAATATTGAACTAAAATTAATAATTATAATAACAATTGAAAACATAACAAACTTTTCATAACATATTTACATTTAAAACGTTTATAGTTATTTGAGTTGATTGTTAAATTGAACTAATTAGCGGCTATTGATTTATTGCCAGAGTTCAAACACTTAACATCTATAAAAAAAATAAATCATAGTCTTATGACGTCAAATATCACATTAAGTACTTTTTTAAAACAAGGCCTGAGTTAGTTTTAAAATGAGATTATTTAAAACACGAAAAAACAACAAAAACATTTAAAAACTCTATGAAAGATCAAGTCAGTGAAGTTAAGTCAGTTAGTCCTTCTCGGTAAAAAAACTGTTTGACACTGATGAATCATCATTGGTACCTAGTACCACCGGTTCATTTCATAAGAACAATTAATGTAAATAAAAACAATCAAACCAATCTTTAAAAAAATATGAAGATGTGGAAAAAAAAAGTCTGATTGTAAATAAAATTGAGTTTTTACATAAAACTTTTTGCTTAAATTAAACAACAAACCCTTATATTACAAGTTGTGTTCAGTAAGCGCAAAAGATTATCCTAACAGCTTAAAATTTTCTTATTACTTGTCAGTGACATTGTGCATAGTGAATGGCTATTTTTGAAAGTATTTACAATTTATGAGGAATTCACAATTATTTGCTATCATCAAACAACAGGTTTTCACAGGAAGACGTGCGATTTCACGTCTTTATATGACCACGCAAAAAAAAAAATGTTTTAACGATTTGACCACGGCATATTTTTAAAATTTTTTTAAAAATATGCCATGGTCACTTTTTTTTAAATTAATTAGAAGTTCTGTTTTTTACATCATTAAAAGCGTTTCAATAATATAAAAGCATTAAAGATCAAACTTATTAAATTGTAACGGTTTTTTGAAACTTATTTTTTTAATGAATTTTTTTTTTTTTAATGCATTAACTTTAATCATTCTTATATTTAAATTCATAATATTGTTATATTTAAAAGAGACTTTCGTAGTCGTAGAATGTCATCGTTTATAAAAACAAAACTATATTTTATTTTTTAATAAGGTTTATTTTAGAAATGAACACTTAAACAATTTATATGTTTTAAATTAAAAAAATATATAAAACTGTCAATTATATTTAAAAAACAAAACTTTTTTTCATTCAATTGTTACTTTATTTAAATTCGTTTCGCCAATATAAAAACATTTGTTAAGAAGTTTTGATGTAATTAATTTCACTTTTTTAGAATTTATTTTTTATTTAGCGCATTTCTAAAATGTTTTTTGAATTAGCTGGGGTCAAACTGTCATAGCAAAATGTAACTTGCGTGATCATATAAAGACGTGAAATCGCACGTCTTACTTTTTTTATGTTACTGAATATTTGCAACTTTATTTTTTAGTATATTTAGCACTAAAATAATAATAATAATAATAATAATAATAATAATAATTGAAACTGAAAATTTAATACTAGAAGACCACAGTTTTATAAAATACCTATAGTTTGAGAAAATAAATAAAAAAATTAAAATTTTTTTTTTTTTTTTAATTAACAAAAGAAAGTACTAAAACTTTGACTTGAATCTAGTGCCCTCTTCAATTTTAATATACTTAAAAAGCATATTAATAGTTCAATTAAGTATAATAAACTGTTTTTCATTAATTTCTTTTTTTTAATTATTTTTAAGCATTTTTTAGCTATTCTATTTAAAAAAAACCTAACCAGGTTACAAAGTAAAACTTTTTAACCTCTTATATTTTATACTTAAATAAAAGTTAATATCATGGTAAAAATTGCTATATTTATTTAAAATATCTTTTAGTTTGATCTGCCTAAGAAAGTCATTAACTAGATTACCAATTATAATGCAATAAACAAAATTATTGGTTTGTCTGTTTGAAAGCATCTCAAAAACTATTTAGTTTTTCAGAAACCATCTCAAAAATTTTCAGTTTAGAAAGCAAAATCTGGTTGTAAACTAGGTTAAACAGGTTAGTTTGCATTTATTAAGACTACTGAAACATTAAATACACTTTTGTATCCATCAAGAAGTAATTCAGCCATTTTGAACATTTTTATATTAACACCACCTATGCGAACAAAATTGCATTAAATATTCAAGAGTTCCAGTGATGTTTTTATAGATTGCTTTTATACTGTGAGAGTTATTTAGAATTTGCCACATTGCTTTTAATGCTTTTAATGCTTTTAAATTTAACTAACTAGCTCCTACTCACTTTCTTTTACTGCTGCTTGAAAACTGTAAATGATAAGGAGACCACGGATTCCATGATCTGTATGAGGATCAAGTTTAAAAAGCTTTATATGATCCTTCTGAACAACTTGGCTAATGGATTCATCAAATTAAACATTGTAATATGGTCCGTTAGATAGTGTTGATAGTAACTCTTTTTTTTTTTTAAACCACTAAAGTAAAATATGAAAGAACTTTAAACTTAAACAATAATAAATTGACTAATGTGCAAATTTCCAGATTTTTTCCAGGATTTCAGAATAAGTAAAAAAATCTAGGATTTTCAAGGAATACATTCAAATTCAAGACTGCAAAAATTCTGTGATGTTCATAAAAAAAAAAAAAAAAAAATAGAAGACAACAGCATTCTGTACAAGATTTAGGTAGGAGACTTAATGAGATAAAGAATGAAATCATGAGTTAAATCACTATAAATAAGCAATCGATTAAAATCAAACGGCATAAGATGGATTAATGCAATCGATTGAATGGTGTTTTTCAGAAGGAGTAAAAAAAAAAGACAATAAAAAAATCTTACAAAAAAAATTAAAATGAACAAAAAGAATTTTGATAGTGAGCAACTTTTTTAACTTTTTATTTAATAAAGCTGATAAACTTTTAAAGAATTCTTTTTTAATAATTAATTTCATTGGTTGTGTTTACAAAACCAATTAAAGGATTTAAGTGTAAAAAATAGTAAACTTTTAAAGTAATATAAATAGTAAAAAATAAATATATTTGAATTATAAATACATTAAATATATAGAACAAATCTAAGTTTTTATAACATACCAGATTTTTGTTTCTTTAGTTTTTTTCGACTTTTTTTATCTAATTTCTATGAAAAAAACAAATTTTTTCTTATCAACAACATTGAAAGCAATTTTATTTGTTTATTGTTCAAATCAAACAGCTAATTACAGACAACTAAAGTCAGCACAACTTTATTTTTACTTAAAGTAATTTTGATTATGATGTTAAATTGATCCTATAATTTTCTATAAGAAAAATGTTTATTAAAAAATTAAAAAGAAGTATATCTGATGATATATTATTGGTTTCAAGTAAGTCACTTATGTGAGTTACTTGAAACCAATAATATATAGAAAATTATAGGATCAATAGGTGGTTCCTGGCACTAGTTGATTACTCAGTCAAGTAGCTGGTGCCAGTGTGACAAAGGTTGCCACACCCACATCAGATGAAGAATGATAGTTTGGTCATCAGATGAAAATTGATAGTTTGGTTATCCAATGTGGTTTTATGTGAGGAAAAAGTAGAGAGACACATGCTGCTTACAAGAGACTCAATGGAAAGGTAACAGTGCTAAGATTATTGAATATGTTGATTATTGGTACAATATTTTTTAGTTAAGATGCTTTGGGTCGGAAGGAGTGTCAACTGATAGTGAAAAAAGAAAATGATGATCAGATGGTTGTGACTCTAAATAATCTTAAAGATTAAGAATAGTGAGTGTATCTTATAAGGTGCATCAAGTAAAATTATGGCAAAAACAAGAATCTTTAATAATGTTGATGAGTTTAATTTTAAATAACTTTTTGATTTTGTAAAATAAGTAAACAATAATAACATAACACATTATTCAAACAAAAGTTATGATACAAGTTTAAAAGATTGTATAAGTTTTATAATGATTTTAAAAAAGTAACTATTAAAGTAAAACTATTTTTATAAGAATGTTTCAGAGCAAAAGGTCCAAAAAGTTATCCTAAAAATTAACATATAAAAATCTTTTTTGTAAATTAGATATGTAGTTAGCGGGTGTTAATGTTGTAAAGGTAATATAAATAGTATAACCATAAAAAGATGTTCACAACCGATGAGGAAAAACCGATGAGGAAAAACAAGCAGAAACTGAGGATTGATGAGGATAAACAAGCAGAAACTGAGAAACAAGTTAGTCAAATATTTAACTATATAGGAGCGGCCACCAATCCAGCTTGTTAGAAGACTAAAACGATTTCAAAAAGGCGCAATAGCAGACATAAATACCATACCACCAAAAGCACAACAGGAAAAAATACTAGTTGCACTAAGTGACGAGTCAGAGAGAAATCCAAAATTAGCCAAAGCAAAGAAACTCAGGATAAAACGAAACCACAGTACAAAGGTGTTTACATTTCACCAGATATGACAGAAGCAGAGCAATATGAAAATATGGAGCTCAGAAAATTAAGAGACACAAAAACTGTAGCCAGAAGACCAGATGATCCCTTTCAATATGCAATACGTGTAACCGCACTTGTCAAGTTTAAATGTAATGTTGAGAACAGAAAAAGAACTGAGCAGTACTAACAAATACCTATGATGTTTATATACAAATGCAACATTACTTGGCAACAAAATGGAAGAATTTAAAATTTTGTGTGAATCAAAAAATGTCAGAATAGCTGGAATCTCTGAAACATGGTTTTAAAACTCATCTATTGTACAGTTAGAAGGTTTTACCGTATACAAAAAAAATAGATCTGATGGGCAAAAAGGTGGTGGAGTTGCTTTGTACATCAAGTACAACCTCACATTATATGAAATAAGTATTGGTAATCAGGATAGCAAAACAGAACAAATATGGGCTGTTGTTGTAATTAGAAATATCAAATACCTCATTGGATGTATATATAGACCAAACAATCAAATAGACATTAATGATCTTAAATAAACTATACATTGTGTAAAAAATGAAGCAGATAATAAAATATATACAGAGTAGTAATACTAGGAGATTTTAATTTTCCAATTATTAATTTTTCCTAACTTTAATATTCCATTATCTGGAATAGTGGATATGTTGAGAGTGTAAATAGTATGAAAATTCATTGGAGCACATGTTTACTGATATAATAAACAACAAATTTTTATTTCAGCATGTTAATATTCCAACTTTTCAACAGTCAGAAACACAATTAAAAAACACACTAGAATTTATATTTACCAATGATAGTAACAGAACATATGAGCTAAAATCACATGAAGTCCTGGGTTGTGCAAACATAGGGCACTTAGTGTTGACATTTAAATTTGAACTAAACATTAAACAGAGTAGCAGAACATCAAAATATAAATTTGGCTATACCAGAGGAGACTACACAAAAATAAATGAAAAAACGAACTCAATTGACTGGAACTTCTGTTTTCATAAATCAACAATACAACAAATGTATGATACTTTTATATTACACATAAACTATCTGAGTAAGAGAAATCCATGGTTTAGCGATAACCTTCGAGCATTAGTAAGAATGAAAAAAGATCTAAGATACATAAGAGCATTTCCATTTCTGTGCGTGGTTTTTTATTTTTCTTTGTTTTAGCAATTAAAAGCTGGGACTTTATGCAATATGCATACTATTTTGATTTTCTTAAAGGGATCCCAAACTCCCAACACATGTTGTGTTCATATTAAAGATAATGTTAAAAAAAAAGGTTTGAACCAAATTTTTTTGATTAAAAATAAATAATGAATGCATACCGTGAAAAACAAATGTTGTTGTTTTTGCCAAAGCTCGTCTTCTCCATTTTTTTCAACTAATCGGAGTCTTCAAATTATGCGTCACAATCTATAGACTTTGGCAATTCCTTTGAAGCGCGTTTAATTCATAAAAGTTTTAGTATTTGACGTCACGGTAGACTTTTAACAAAAGAAAAGTGTAATTAAACTAAGCTGCGTTTTTCTACTGTAGTATTTTTTTAACATACAGCAAAAGAAATTTATTTGCATTATTTTTCCAAACATCGCAAAAAAAATTTTGTAAAAAGTAAAAACAATAAATTATTTTTATTTTATAGGAGCAACTTATTTTTTACAGATATCTTAATAATTTTTAGATTTATATATCTTACTTATATTTCTTTAATTATTTTAATTAAAACAAACATTAAAGCTTTACTTACCAATCTCATGATTTTCATACGAGTATTTTACTTTATATAGAACGTTTTATATACGGTCTCTTGTTTTTGCGCAAGAGAGCGCAGTATTATATATTCTGATTCTTAATTATTTTTATTTAAACAAAGGGAACTATTTTCTAACTTCTCTGGTTATTTTTACGCTATGACAACTTTTTGTTTTCCCGTCAAAAAAAAGTATTTATTAACAATTACTTTCATAAACTGACAGTATTAATTAGAAATATTTAATGAATTGTTAACTTTTTTTATTATAAAATTTTTTTGATCACGCTGATTTAATTTAAATTGCTAAATTTGCTGAATTGGATACGGATAAAAAGGAAATACCATTTTATTTTACATTTGATTTTTGATAATGAAATTTTCAAAGTGTCAGCAACTCTATACCAATTAGAACCTGTTGAGATTATGAAAAAAAAGTGCAAGAATACACTAAACAATACAGTTGACAGTAGTATCAGATATGAAAACTCGTGAAAGGATTTGTGAGATCCTGATTTTGCATTAAAAGTACAATTAATTGCAACACAAGTCGGCATTAGAAATTTTGATTATAGGTTTACTGTTCAATATTTTATAACCATCAAATAAAAAACATAAAGTTTGTATATTTTCGCCCGTTTTATACAACTAATATTTAACAAAAATACGGACAAATTATTATTAAATAACGCAATAATTAACACATTAATTAAAGGCAATAATTCAAGATAGATGGTAATTTAGATTGTTAAAATGTCATAACGCGAATTAAAAAACATATTATATTTGGTATTTCTAAATTTGTGTCGTAATTGGTATTTATCTTTTAACATGAAAAATTAAAAAATTTTTAAAAACACAATTAACAAATACAAATTTTCAAGCAATTTTCTCTTCCAATTCTCACTTATTCAAAGAAAATTTATTATTAAACTTTTATTTCTCTCATCTAAAAAAAGAATGAGTGAAGCAAAAAAATATATATATTCTATACAACTCTTACTCATTCAAAGTTTAATTGCTTTTCTTTCTCTTTTGTTCTACTCTTTTATAAAAAGAGCGCCCGATGAAATAAAAACTTTTCTTTTTTAACATATAATTATAGTTTGAGATAAAATTAAATTAGAAATAAATCAACAATGAGCAAAGCAACGAACCGGTTAATCTGGAACTATTTTGATATTTATGAAAATAATCAACATAAACAACATTGCCAACAACAATTATCAAATAAACAACACAATCTCAAATAATTTTAGGGGCATTTTATTTTTATTGCTTAGTCGTTCTAAATAATAAGTAAATTTAGTTCAAGTTAATAATTCAATATTTACAGTTGCAATAGAATAAAGAAATGGTGTTTAATACTGAACTTTTTATTTAGTTATTTATTTTTTTACCTACATTTGTTATAAAAAACTTTAGAACCCCCGTCATTAAAATAATTTGTTTTAAATATATATTGATTTACGTGAATATTCAAACTAATTTTTTTGGTTTGACTTTCCGAACTTCATGCAAAGCAAATCGAAAGGAAATATCGTCTAACCAAATAAAAAAGTTGTTACTAATTTTATACGGGTAATTAATGTAAAACAATTTTTGAGATAATTCATATAGAAAGATATATAGAGAGAGATATTTCATATAGAGAGAGATAATTGATAAAAGATAAAAGATCTCTCATATAGAGAGAGATAATTCATAGAGAAATATTCATAATTTATAAACATTAAATATATGGCGCAATAACAATTTATAGCAACGAACCAGCATAAAATATTTAAGGTTTTTAATATCTTTTTAAATATTAAAAGTAGAAAAAAAAAAAACTAAACAAATAATCAAAAAAACTTCAACTAAAAATAAATAAAAATATTTCTAGAGTTTAATTTATTAAAAGTCTACCGTGACGTCAAATACTAAAACTTTTATGAATTAAACGCGCTTCAAAGGAATTGCCAAAGTCTGTAGATTGCGACGCATAATTTGAAGACTCCGATTAGTTGAAAAAAATGGAGAAGACGAGCTTCGGCAAAAACAACAACATTTGTTTTTCACGGTATGCATTCATTATTTATTTTTAATCAAAAAAAATTGGTTCAAACCTTTTTTTTTAATATTATCTTTAATATGAACACAACATGTGTTGGGAGTTTGGGATCCCTTTAAAGAACAATTATAACAAAAATATTTTTATCATATTTTAGGCTATCTGAACAAATTAAATATACACATTTTTACAATTTTATTTTTTTGAGTAATAATATCGCTACATTTTGAAAAATATACAATAATTTTCAAAACGCCATACTCCAGCTAGAAATAATCGATGACTGCGGTTTCTCATCGAAAATATATTAAATATGAGTCGCAGAAGTATAATATTTCACTTGAAATACTCACAAGCAATTTATTTTCATAAAAATAACTACATGAAATTGACAAATTTGCAACATCCGTGCGTGACTTCCGTGCGTGATCATTCATAAACTGCATTTAAACGATTGCTGTAACTCTATGATTCATAGTGCAATCCTGTAACTTTCTGGAAATCTTTACTGTTTAAAATATTATTAAAAAATATATATATACCGGTGAAACTTATATTGTCCAAGGAATTAAAGTTTATTTATCTAGTAACTAAAATAGAAGTTTTTCTGTTCCGTGCATGATTCCATTTCAAACTTTATTTATTCTTTGTTAACATTACTAATGCTTACTATTTTTTGTTTACAAAATATTTATATTAATTAGAATTAAATGAGAGTAAATTGGAGATCGCTAGTTTTATTTTTAAGAAAATAAAAGTAAAAACATATACCAGTTTCCGTGCGTGATTTTTTGGAAATGCCCATAAATTAAGCAACTAAATGGAAAGATGCAGAAAAGGTCAAAGCATCCAAAACAATAACAAAATTAGTATCAAAAGAAACTGCCAGAAAGGACTATAAAATAAACCTGATAATAAAATCAAATCTGAAACTTCTTTATAAATATGTAAACAGTCAGAAGAATACAAAGCAATCAATTAAAGCTGTTTTAAACACTAATGGTACTGCAAAGTCAGTAGCATTGCCACTTACATTATTCTACACATCATCTTACAACAAAAGTAACCTGCATCAACTGTGGTGTGCTGCAAATGTGACACCAATTTTAAAAAAAGGATGTAAGTTAAATGCATCGAACTACAGACCTGTGTCAATAACATCAATAGCATGCAAAATAATCGAAGAAGTCAATGCAAAAATGTTTCGACAACTGTAATCTGATTACAAAATGCCAACATGGTTTTGTGAAATAGAAATCATGTACCACAAATATTTTATAAACTCTCGATTTTATTACACACAATTTATCAAAAAATATACCTGTGGATGTTATAATGCTGGATTTTGCATTTGATACCGTGCCACACAAGCAACTTATGTTAAAATTGAATGCATATGGAATAAAAGGAAAATTTTAAGCTGGATTAATATGTTTTTGAATAATCGAATACAAAGAGTGGTTCAAGGTGATGCAGTGTCAACATGAAAAAACATATTAAGTATACGTTTTGAAGTATACATCAATGACATACTAGAGAAAATCAAAAGCATTGTAAAAATGTATACAGATGACACCAAGATTTTTTCAGCAGTGAACTCAATAGAGGACGCTAATTTAGTTCAAAGAGATTTAAAAAATATAAGAGAGTGGTCAGAAAAATGGTTAATCAAACTGAACGAGAATAAATGTGTGGTTATGCATTACGGTAAAAACAACATAAAAATCAATTATACAGTTAATGGATAAGAATGGATTAACAATTCGACAAATGAATGTGATCTTAGTGTAAACTTTGATACATCACTGAAATGGAAGAAACACATAGTAAAATGTTTATCAAAAGCAAATGCAATAATGGGGATGATAAAAAAACACCTTTGTTCATTTAGATCATCATTTTGTCAAGCAACTATACACAACTTTTGTTAGACTGCTGATTGAATTTGGTCACCAAACTTGGTCTCCAAACTACAAAGGTAACATCAATATATTAGAAAAAGTGTAGCACAGAATGACAAGGATGGCAAAGAACATAAGAAGTCTGCAGTACTAATACCGTTTACAGACACTAAATTTAACAACATTGTCAGAAAGAAGACAAAGAGGAGATCTTATCCAAGTATTTAAAATTTTTAATAAAATCGAAAAAGTAGAACTTTTAAACAAACAAACTTTCTCAAAATCACACAATATAAGAAATACAGTAGAGAACAAACCAATTTTATGCCAAGACACAAATTCCTTATAAACAGAACTGCAAATTTATGGAACGCATTACCATCAGAAGTCATTAATTCAACAAACGTAAATAATTTTAAAAACAAATTAGAAGTATAATTAGCCTCAAAAAATTAACTTATAAACTATTTTTGTTTAAGATTTTCAAATTGAATTGTTGTATATTATCAAAAGCTGTCAAATTGAATTGTTGTACTCACTCGATGTTAATGCAGTTACAGTTTAACTACTACTACTATTACAATTGTTGGTAATCGCTCTAAAAAAGATATAAAAGTTGTACTTGTAATTGTTCTTTAGCTATATGTTTTTGCTATTTTTATTATCTAGAAGTGATTTGTTGCTGTCGTCACAAACTTCAGGACTTTCCAGGTAGTAATAATAAAGTGGAATATTTGTAACAAGTAATATACTGTAGTTAACAATTCTTTATACATCGAGTATGTATGCATTTTATATAATAATAACTTATAATTTTATATAATTAACATATTAATGATTTTGTAACAAAACTTACATCGGCAAGACTAAATTTACGCTTAAGTTTTTTCGAAGCACGTTTTATTTTACTGCCGTCCATCTTTTAAATTTAACTATTTAACTATATCTACGGGATCCAAGATAACTGCGTCACATAACGTCTACTAGAAATACTGCGAAAATAATAGCGACTTTACGAAATCAGCTTTCCGAGTAAAAAATGTTGATAATGCGCATGCGTGAGCTGTGGGTAAAACCGTAGTTAAAGTTTTAGCGTCGTGAAATAGTTACAGAGTTTGGGGACCATCCATAAAGGACCAAATTGGGGGGGGGGGAGGGGTTCGAGTTAAAAAGGACTAAAGGAGGGAGGAGGTTGTCAGAAAAGGACGTCACTTTATAGATTTTTTATTTTAATTTAATTAACATGGAAAACTATGTAAACATGTGTTTTTGAGAAGATAATGAATGAGAATATTTTTAATTTTATTTTTCAAAGGTGTAGCAGCAGATTCAAACATCATTGCAAGATGAAATAAATTTTTTTGGAGTTAAAAATAGGGAAGGGGTCAGGATTTTAGGACGTCCTTTTCCAGGGGGTATAGGGAAAAAGGACAACCGGTGACAAAGGAGGGGAAGGGTCAAAAATGGGCTAAAAAATGGTGACGTCCTTTAAGGATGGCCTCTTGGGTTTTTTTATTAAGTTTTTAAATTCATATCGTTAAATCGGGTAATTGTTTTTATTTTAAATCTGAATTACTAACTTTATATTATATTTATATAATAAATTACAAAAATTAATAATAAATTTCAAAAAGGTTTTTATAAACAATATGTGTGCCGGCACGATGGGTGTGTGGGGGGATGGACTTCCACCACCCCCTTAATGATTTTAGTTGGCAAATTTGACGCTTTTTGACTAGTTAGTCGGAAAATGTAGACCCTTTCGACAGGTTAGTCGGCAAAGTTAGAAAGTCAGTTGGCAAGTGTCGTTATAACAGTCGGAGGGCCCCCCTCCCCCATGTGACACGTTTGCTTTAATATAGCGCAGTTTTTTTAAATATAGCTATATATAAAATCTGACTGTAATACAAATCTGTGATTTATATTGTATAAGCTGCATAATTATACCTTATTAATGGAGGTTTTGACCTTCGAGCCATGGCAGTTTAAACGTGGTTCAAAATAAGAGGAGAATCATGGGAAAAAATATCCAACTCTCTTAATGGATTACCACAACCTTATTTTAAAGTTACGAACCTGGGATAATTTTATCAAATTTATTTAAAAAAAAAAAAAAAAAAAAGAAAGATTTTAAACTTCGTTTCTTTGATGAAACAACGAACGTAATGTCGCAACGAACGAATTTTTTACTTTAAAACTTTAACTTGACTACTTTAAAAACAAGAAGAGAAAGAGGCGATTTGATTCAATTTTATAAAATAAGTAAAAATATGGATAAAGTTAAATGGAATCATCCTCCTAAAATAATTAAATATGCAATTACAAGAGGTCATACTCAGAAAATACAAAAATAATTCACACATTCTACCACAAGATTTAACTTCCTTACAAACGGAATAGTTAACAATTGGAATAATTTAACAGAGGAGATAATTAATTCTAAAAATGTGAACATTTTTTTCAAAAACAAGTTTGATCGTTTCGAAAAAAATAAAATAAAAATATAAAACAAATAAAACAAAAAAATATATATATAACATTAAAAAAGGAAAAAAAAAAACTTTTGCAACGGCTGTCTAAGTTTTAACATCTACAGATGTTAGACTCACACATTGTACGTGTAAAGCAAAAAAATTTATTATTATTGTTATTAATAAAAAGGATTTTTATACAAAAAAAATCATACAGAAAAATATACAGAACTATAAAAAACTACATAAAGTGACGTTTTAAGTAAAATATCGTTGTCGTAGACGTTTTAAAAAACGTCTGCGACAGCGACAACTTATAAAATCATAGTTTCTACGTTCTCGTTGCGGAAGGCGTTTTAATTTCGTAAAGTCAGTAATATCCAACCACGCTACAGCCTAATATGGCAAATTAGGTTGGCGTAGCCAGTCTTATATGGCAAATTAGGTTAGACCTAGTTATGACTGACTAGTAGTTTTCAAAACTTTAAATAAAACAACTCGGGACTAATTGTCAAGACAAATTGAAATAATTGTCTATTAATTAAAATTTAAACTAATTAAATAATTTTTTTTTCTAAAGAAGTTTTAAGTAATTTCCTTAAAAAAAATTTTATCACTCCTATAAATTAAAACGAGTTATTGAATCTTATTTAAAGAGTTTTCTCTTTAAAATTGCCTAGGTAATTGCCAAGAGCCTAATGTAATAGGCTCTAGCTTTACTTTTTCTTAAATTGATTCTTTAAATAATCTTCAATCCTCTATATACTATAGAAAACAATTTTTTAAAAAATGTTTTCTAAAATATATTAAAAATATATATTTTTAATATATATATTTTTAGTTAAATTCAATAGTCTAAAAATTTAGAAATTACAAATTACATACATACATACACACATACATACATACATACATACATACATACATACATACATACATACATACATACATACATACATACATACATACATACATACATACATACATACATACATACATACATACATACATACATACATACATACATACATACATACATACATACATACATACATACATACATACATACATACATACATACATACATACATACATACATACATACATACATACATACATACATGTATGTCGTATTTGCTTATAATTTATTTCAAACCAAAAATTTATATTTTTCTTTTTGTTATTTTAGATTTATTTTTTGTTTTTATAAGTAGTGGATGATTTGGGTATCGTAGAATTCGTTTTAGAATTTTTATACATAATATGTATAAAAATTCAAAAACGAATTCTACGAAACCCAAATCATCCACTACACATAAAGACAAAAAATAAATCTAAAATAACAATATATTATATATACTAAAATAACATTATATTATAATCTAAAATAACAAATTATTATATTGTCAATGTATGTAGTATGTACATACATTTTCAATGTATAAAAATGTATCTACATACTACATACATTGACAATATAATATTTTTCAGTATATTGTTACTATGAAAGTCTAGTTTTTTAGACTTATAATTAGGTACTGACCTGAAGAAAATTTGGGCTTGATGCGCAATTGTTGCTTGGTTGGTTTTAATGTGCCGTTGTTGCTTGATGTTGCCATTGTTGGTCGGTGTTTATTTCTATATTTAAATTCAATGGTATTTATATGATGTTACATATTCGAGAGATTTAGAGTTGATGGAAACAATCGGTGGTGGGCGTGTGTCAAGTTTGTTACTCGGTATGCACGTAAATTTGCATTTTGTTATGTTTAATAACATTTTCTTTTTGATGCACAAGTTATTAACTTTGTCCCTAATTTCCTGTTGTAGGATTAAGTGGGAAGTTATCCAACAATTTATCCAAGGATGTCATCAGCAAATATATACAGTTCAATATCGCAGTCAAATATATCGTTTATATCAAGTATGAAGAGTATAAAGAGAACGGATCCGAATGCACTGCCTTGGATGAATCAAGCTTCCATTCTGTTGCTATGCCTTTAGTATAAATTTGCTGACATCTGATTTGCAGGTACAATGCAATCCAGGAAATTAGCCATTTAGGGAGATGTATTGATAATTTGGTCAGAAAAAGCTCGTGATCAACTACGTCAAAGGCTTTAGCAAAGTCAAGGAATATTGCAGTTAAAATTTACTTTTTGTCCTTAGCAAGATCCCAGTTATCCTTCTATGACCCGTGTGATTGCATTCATGGTGCTTTTACCTGGTAGGAAATCATATTGTTGTATGTTTTCTAAGATGGTGTAAGTATGGTGTATAATAAATTTGGTAACAACTCTTTCTAATGTCTTGCAAAGATGGAATATGAGAGAGATTGGAAGAAAGTCTGGCCAGTTTCTTGGTTTTGGTAATTTAGTAATTTTTTTAATTTTTCCATTGATAAGGCGTAAATGAGCGAGACAAACACTAGTTAAACAGAAGACTTAAAATACCTAAGATTTAAGATAACAAGTTTTTATCTAACAAACTCTGTAATCCAAAAATTGCAATTTAAGATTATTCTGGGGTTTTTTTTTGAATTATAACTGGCCTTGCAAGGTCCGCATTGAAACAACTTAGCTGTGTCACAATCAATTTTTAATAAATAATTTACTAAAATTAGTTGAAGAATTTAATGAATGTTTAAAATACATATATTAGACAACCAAATTTTAGCTTCAAATTTTGATGAGCATATTATCCTTAGTTTTTTGGTTTCCTGTTTCATTTCAGCATTCTGTTAGAATGCTAAAATAAAGCAAGTTTTATATAATTTGTTATCTCCTCAAATTGATAGTGGGTTTCAAACAAAACAACATGTTTGGTAATAATTCTTGAACGCTAAAGGATTTTTTTATGAAATTTATTGATGAATATAAATTTACTTAAGAATAGTAAAAAATTGTATGTTTTATTGACTCCATGACAAGCTTTCACTCGAGAACCTTATATTTTCAAAAATAAAATTTATTATCCTTTATTATCCTTATATTTTCAACATTCAACATTCAACTTATTAGCAAAAAAACAACATTAATTATGATTTGGACATTAGTTTTGAAAACAAAATTTATAATATTCCATAAAGCTAGAAAATCTGAAAATAGTTGTTTTAAAATGCCCAATCTTTTAATCAATAACATAATAATTAAAAGGGAGAGTGCTTCTAGATGGAAAACTGTCATAAAAACTCCATATTAAATATATTAAAAGGGGTTGTCCATTAATTAAGTCAAAAAAATAGGGGAGAGGGGGATCTGAACCTTTTTGAAAATTGTTGACACGGGGAGGGGGGAAGGTCAATTAAAGTTGACGTCAACAATTTTTTTTTTTAGTTTTATTGCTTAAATAACGGAAAATTAGGCTGAATTTGTAGCGTAGTTTTTTTGTATAGGGGAAGGGGGTAATCAAAAATGACGTAATTTTATAGGGAGGGTTTTTGGAAATTTGACAAATTTAATGGGCAGCCCCAAAGTAAGATATCAAAAACTATTTCCGTGTTATATCGAATAA